GAAGGTGGAATATAAAAAAATTAATCATTAAAAAATTTAAAAACTTTTGGATGCAAAATAGAATTTAAGAAAGATAGATAGCAAAAATTATAGAGATTGTAGAATATTGGAGGAATAGTTATACACATAACATTTCAATTGAAAAAAAATTGTTACTTGAATCTAATTTGGGAATCTAATTAATTATAGCTATTGGATTAAAATAGAGATTCATCTAACATTTCAATTCACAACTAATTTAATGATAACATTGAATTATATATTTTATTAGATCTTTAAATTAAGTCCATATGATATTGCTCTTAGACAACATTGAATTAGGTGCATTGCGTTTGGTTCGCACTAATGCTTTTAAGTGGGAATGAAATGAACTTAGCAATAGAATGAAATATGCATTACCATTATAATGATTGACAATTACTTGAGAACAAGTCCTATACTGGAATGCACATTCTATTTCAACGTTTAGATAAAATAATTCTTATTGGAATGGAATAAAATTTAGAATATTTTTTATTCAAATGCAATGAAATTTAAAAGAAATAATTTTTTTTTAACTATAAAATTTTTACTTAATTCCTCTCTTACAATAGGAGTTTGCTTTAATTCCCTCATAATATAGATTGCAAAATTTTATTACACTATGTCCCACTGCTCTTTCCTTAATCTTTTCTCTCGCTCTGTTATTTTTTCCTACCTGGCGAACTCTGCTACCCACGTTCTTTTTTTTTTGATACTTAATACTTAAAGAGAGCGATGAGAGCAAGGAAGAGTGCCCAGCGACTACCCCGATAGACCCTCACCAGTGGGATCATAAGGTCTTTGACCGCGCTTGGAACACCTCTCGGGACCAAACCTAGTTAGGCTAGCATAGCGGCCAACTATCAAGCTTCAATGGAGACTCCAAGACTCGAACTCTCAACCTCAAGGTGAGGATTACGCCCGGTATCCCACTAGACCACCCTACTTGGTGGTATTACCCACGTTCTTTCTCCACTCTTTTTTGCCGATGACTCCATCCTTTCGTTGTGAGTATTTTTTCTATGTGACGAAGTTATTGTGACCCGTTTTTAGCCTTTTCAGTTACCATATATTCAACTGATACAAAATACGATTTTGTTTTTCTTTTTTTGTTTTGTTTTTTTTGTAACAGGCATCCAACTTTATGCTGACTATTTTTTCAAGCTCAACGATGGACTACTGTGACTTGGATTGGTCTAGAATATAGACCCAAAAAGATAAGGATGGCTAGCCTTAAGGAGTGTAGGAAGGTATTAAAACTGAAATTTCTAAATTATTAAAGGATAGATACAAAATACGATTTAATTGTAAGTAGAATCCTTTGAGATGTCTATGATTTTCACGCACAAGTCACAGGTCTCTCTGGTCGAGGAAGTTTGGCAGATTTCGAGAATCAGCATTCGAGATCAATTTAGCAAGGGATGTGATACAGAGAGTGAGATTTTCTGCTTGCCTCCATCTCTGTCATAAAGGTCTGGACTCCGGTTCCTTTTTCTACGATAATTTTCTTAAGAACAAAAAGATAATATTGAACCTAATTCTGAAAAGATCCGTACAATTGAAACCTGATTTTGGAAGTTCGGTGATGAAATTATTATATGTTTTGATTGATTTGTACTGAAATAGCAATGTTATTAACGAGTATATTGAGAGATCTGATGACTAAAGAAGAAATTCAACATAATTTTGATAGTATTCATAGCTTTATAACTATTGTTTTACGGACGAAATTCAACCTGATTTTGAAAGTCTCTGATGAAACTAAGCTGATATTATTAGATTTTCCAATGGATTTGTATTGAAGTTGAACTATTGTTGCTGGAAATCTTAAAAGTGAATTTGACAAATAAAGGGTTAATCTCATTTTGTACCTTGAAAGATTGTTCGAATCTCAATTTATACCCTCAAAGATTAAAAATTTCAATTTGCACCCTCAAAGATAGAAATTTGTATCAATGTACACCCCCAAATATCAAAAATCTCAATTTGCACCCTCAAAGATAGAAATCTGTATCAATGTGCACTTAAAACTAAATTGATAAATTATACCTAGATCCCCTCATGTTTGTCACTTAATTATTTGAACCCCTTCACATTTAGAATATTACCCCTACATCTCATGACGTTTGTACATGTGTAAACATAANGTAACTCATTTTCATTGATATCTATTAATATAACCGTTAAAAAATATAATTTTATCCTAATAAAAAATTATAATTTCATATTACTCTTTATTTTGTGGATTCAATATATTCTAAAGTTCAAAATCAAGTTTACCATTTGAATGTCTAATATAATGTATGTATTTATAAAAAGGAAAATATGAAAAACATTATATAAATATCTACATTTTATTAGATATTCAAATGGTAAGTTTGATTTTGAATTTTAGAGTATATTGGACCCATCAAATAAGGGTAATATGAAATTATAATTTTTTATTAGGATAAAATTATATTTTTTAACGGTTATATTAATAGATATCAATGAAAATGAGTTACATGTTGTACGTGCATAAATGTCATGAGATGTAGGAGTAATATTCTAAATGTAAAGAGGTTCAAATAATTAAGTGACAAACATGAGGGGATCTAGGTATAATTTATCAATTTAGTTTTAGGTGCATAATGATACAAATTTCTATATTTAAGAGTGTAAATTGAGATTTTTTTATCTTTGGGGTACACATTGATATAAATTTCTATCTTTGAGGGTGAAAATTGAGATTTTGATCTTTGGGGGTGCACATTGATATAAATTTTTATCTTTGAGGGTGCAAATTAAGATTTTTTATCTTTGGGGGTGCACATTGATACAAATTTCTATCTTTAAGGGTGCAAATTGAGATTTTTGCTCTTTGAGGGTGCAAATTGAGATTCGAACTATCTTTCGGAGTGTAAAATGAGATTAACCCACAAATAAAATGGAAAAAAAGTTTGCTGCATAGTGACTATTGTGAAATACTCAGCAGCAAATTGGTTAGCTGATGACGAGAAAAAGAAATAAAATAATTAAATCAAAGTACATAATGAAAGATACCGATATTTTACGTGGTTCGGCAAAAATCCTACCTACGTCCACGAGACGTAATCTAACCATCTTCTTTATTATCGAGAAAAATTAAAAAAAGACAGAGTATTTTGTTAACGAGCAATGCTACATGGATTTAAAAATTAGACTTTATAATCTCAACCATTGATTTCACTGTGGGTTAACATTTATTGGGATCCACTACCTATTCAATAGTTGAGATTATCAAGTTTAATTTTTAAGTTCATATAACATTATTTTATTAGCAAAGCTCTTGACGACAGTTTTGTAAATAAGAGGACTTTTAAGGCCGGTGCTTTTCGGCCCAACAAAATCAGACTTCCAACGCTGTCTTTTTCTTCTTCCTTGACATTTTTCGCAGCTTTCTCCACCAAGGACTTCCAAGCAGCTCCTTGTTTTCAAGAATCAACACATCATAGCCCACTAACAATGACAACACTAAAAATGCAATGCCCTCCACTTGAAACCTCAAGCCCATATCATGGTACTGATGTCCATCCCCATGCCTTAGGATATTATATTAATCTAAGAGTACGAAAGATTGATCAAGTATAAGTAATGCTAGAACTTCTGAGAAATGACACCGGCTTTGTCATCATATTAGTTGCATTGTTGTCTGTACGAACTTTCATCAAGTTCACCTTATCTTTTTTCACCCACTATCTGAAAGTATGATACCTCAACTCAATGTATTTTGTTTTGGCATGATAAACTTGATTCTTTGCTAACTGAATTACACTTTGGATATCACAATACAACTCTAAATTTTCCTACTACAATCTCAGTTTTTTGACCAATCTTGTCAACCACAAAGCTTTTTTGACAGTTTTCACCGTTGTCATATATTTTACGTTAGTTGAGAATAAAGCAGAATTTGATTGAAACATAGTTTTTCAACTAATAGGTTCACCTGCAAGTGTAAATATGTAACCTATAGTAGACCTTCTTTTTTCCAAATCACCTGCATAGTCTACATTATCATAACCCATAACCTGTCCTGTTTCATCTTGTCTTTGATACAAGATACTGAAATCCACCGTTTCTCTCAATTACTTGAATCTCCATTTAATTGCATTCCAATGCTCATTGCCCGGATTATCTATGTATATACTGACAATAGTGACTGTCTGTGAGATGTCTAACAATAGGATCTGATTTGCCTTTTTCCTGACAAATTAAAGCGATGAAATTGAACACAATTAATTTTGAAAGTGTTCGTAATTTTTATAATTACTTTTCAGTTTATTATAGATGTAAATTAACCTGATTTGGAGTGCCATTTTTTAAAATTAAATTGAAATAATTGTTTTTTCTAATGCATTTCTGCAGAAATTGAGCTATTTTTTGAGAAAAGAATTGGACAAAACTCTACTGCTTGGTAGCAGCTCTCATTTATTCTCTTACTACTCTTGTCCCGTGTAATACATGTTTTTTTTAATGTATGAGTTGAATTACCATGATTAAAAAATTAAAATTTAAGTGAATTATTATAATTAAAAATTTAAAAATTAAAATGTTAAATTGTAATGTAAACTATCATCTGGACCGTTGTTGTACGTTTCTAACTCGAGAGCTGACCCTATTTTATTATTATAGATGTAGTTAAGAGATGAAATTGAACCTAGTGTTGAAAGTATTCGTATAGTATTACTGTTCGTAGTTATCAAAACTTCTAGTGTGTTACAGACGAAATTGAAGCTGAACTTGACTAGAATTTTGAGAGAAAAATGGGCTTTTCATTTATTTCATAGCATGAGATTATGCATTCAACTCCGTAGAACACTTAAAAGAGTGTAGATACATATTATACGTAGTTATAGTAGTCTCATATACACTCGACCACTTCTTTACATATAACAAAACCACAACAGCCAAGCCGTTAGCTCATCAGGCTCAGGCCTCTCTCAGATGTGCAGCAAAGCAACTCAGGCATCAGAACGGCCCTCATCCTGCTGTTGGCGCGGACCATTGAAGAAGAAATCTTCATCTTGACTCTTGAATACCTCATCCACCTCTTTCTCTGCTGCACTGAAACCCAGCTCCTTAGCTTCTTTCTCCAACTGATTGATTACGTTCCTCTTTCCTGCCAAACCAACCAAGCAACCACACCATGCATTAGAGGTGTTTGTGACAGGGAGAGATAGAGAGAGTCAAATTTACCTGCCAGAGGGTATTTCTCATTGTTTCGTGCATTGACCTCGAAGCATAGAACCTGGAGATTTCTGTTGTTGGAAGCGACGATAACGATTGGGTGGCTGGCGGGGGCAACAAACACTGTTCCGCGTCTCAAACGAGCGCTGACCCTCTGATATCTTGGGCCACCCTTGCGTTGGCCCTCGGATTCTGCGCGACGTCCCGGTTGCCCTTTCTGCTGTTCACCGCGCTGTGAGCCCAAATGAGGGCATGCCATTTCATAGTAACCTTCGCCGTCAATCACCACAGCTATCTTTGTTGCCCTTGAGTTGTAGAATGGAGTTTCCATAGATCCCTACACAACACAATACACAACTAAAAAGAACTGCACTTGCATGCCCAGAGAGAGAGAGAGAGAGAGAGATTACTCTGGTAATGTTGGCAAAAGAGACAGCCACGTCAAGGTCTTCCAACTTCCCATAGTCCCTCTCATCGACCTCGTATAGTTGTCCATAGTCGTTAGATTTTGAGGGACGCTTCTCGAAGAGGTTTAAAGGTCCCCTTGATGATTCGCCACCTTTCTCTTGTGTGCTCAAGCCCCTGATCTGCTCTTCAGAAGCTTTGACAATCATTCCTTGACTTTGTTTTCCCAACAGCCTCTGGATTTTATCCCTATTTGTCTAAGGTTCCAATTTCCAAAACACAAATCAAATTGCGATTACTAGTCGTTAATACATAATATCGTGAAAGTTACAAGTTAATCTTGATGAAGAAACGTACTTTCAAAGCGGCTTCTAGTATGTCGGTACTGAATGCTCTGTAAAACGACCCCGGGTTTTCTCCTCCTACTCCAAAGAATGTCTACACCACAAGAACTTTTAAGTACTCAGTAAACTTGACCATGTATTACAGATATATGCACATATATATACGCTCAGGGTCATTAAGTTTTAAGAGCTGATAGAAAACGATTAATTCACCTCGAGCTGGCCTGGAATGGAGACAGGCTGGAGGAGCTTGGCTATAACGAGTCTCTGAGTCTTGTCTCTGTTGGTGATATGAACAGTTATTCCAGCAGAGATCCTCAAAATATCCCCATATCGAAGATTAAAGCTCTCTCTCTTCTCCTCCAACACTAGAGTGATAGAACCCTTTCCTGCAAAAACAATACCAGCAAAACCCCATCTTTAATATCATGAATCCATGCATATTGTTGGTACAAATTCTTGCACAAGGACAAGGATTCTGGCCGGTCTGGGTAAACTCTTTAGACAATTTTTAATACACTTTATTTTTCAGTGTCCGTGCGAACATCTTTAATATCATGAATCCATGCATATTGTTGGTACAAATTGTTGCACAAGGACAAGGATTCTGGCCAATCTGGGTAAACTCTTTAGACAATTTTTAATACACTTTATTTCTCGGTGTTTGTGCGAAATTTCGTCCCACATAAATTGAGAGTCGTTTTCCCTTTCCATATAAGTCTTTGACTTCAATGGAGGAGGTACCCACTAGCCACTTAATCAAGTGGCTAGTGAGTACTTCCTCCATTGAGACCAAGGACTTATATGGCAGAGGGAGAGACAATTCTTACTTGACGTGGGATAGAGGTCAAAAAATTATTCTTACTTGACGTGGGATAGAGGTCAAAAAATTATTGAGTGATCGTTTTAACACACATTAATTAAAATTCTTCCGTTCAAGAAGGAGATTTGAATGCACGATTTCTGCCTGACACATGTCTACAAACCAATCATACCGTTGGCAACAAATATGACCGCCTCGGCATCCTTGTGGTGTGGCACAACGAAGGCTTGAGGTTCAGCTTCAAGAATGGCGATACGGTAGTTCTCGATGCCACGGAGAAGCTCCGATCGCTCAGTGAACTTCTGAAGAACACGGTCTCTGCCATGTTCGGTCTGAATTCCAGAAGTGAAGTGCTGTTCCTCAAAAACGTATGGGTTTTCCCATTGTTCTCTTCTTTCGTCTTCTTCACCATCATGCTGAGGATTACCCTCTCGGGCCTCTCCTCTCTCCCGCTCTCTCTCTCCCTCTTGCTCTCCTGCTCTCTCTCCGGCTCTTTCTCCCTCTTTCTCTCCTGCTCTCTCATACTCTCTCTTTTGCTCTCTCTTACACTCTCTCTCCAGCTCTTTCTCACACTCTTTCTCCCGCTTTCTCTCCTGCTCTCTACGTTTCTCCACACAGCGACTCTCACACTGTTGTTGCTTATATGGCTTCTCCGATTTCTTTTCGCACTTTCTCTGGCATTTTTTGTACTCCATCTGAGGATCCTTGGCGTTGCCTTGACCTCCTCTCTCTTCTCGTTCCCGCTCCTGTTTGTACTCCTCTTCGCATCTTTGACGGCACTGAGGTCGTTGTTGTTCTTCTCTTTGCTCGCATGTCCTAACGCACTGGCGAAGCCTTTCCTCGGGACTTTGAGGGTTCCACTTTTCATCCCGGTCGCCGCCACGACTGCCTTCTTGTTCTCGCTCTCTCCTCTCCTTCTCTCTGTAGGATAGTTCACAACCTTGCTCGCATTGTCTCCTTTGGCTCTTGTCAAATCCCTCTTGGCGTTGACACTGTTGCTTGCACTGCCTCAGCTCTGGATCTTCTTTTCCCAAAACCGCAGTCACAAAAACAAGCAACAGAGTAAAGAGCAAGAAGCAAAACAAAGGAAGCCTTACTTTGATCGCCATTTTCACGATAGGGTTGGGAGTACTTTGAGGGTGTTTTCAGCGAAGAAAACAGAAGGTATTGGTGCTATGTTTATAGTGTGCACTAGAAGCAGATTGATAGCGATGAGCGTTGGCAACATTTGCATGCAAGGGCATGCACGAAAACGGGTGTCCACCTTACGTGTCCGTTGTGTGGCAATGGCTATCGCCGAGTACGAAAAAGAACAGGAAAGACAATGGGGGTTGAAAGAGCATAGTTAGAGACCTAATTAATCAACATAAGTAGACGTAAAAAAAAAAAAAGGAAAATAATATTTGAACTTAAAATTTTGACATAATTTGTTGACTTAATGATGTGATTTCATTGAAATCATTGGATTAACACTAAATTTCAATATTTGATGGAACCTACAGTCAATTCAAAGATCATAGTCAATTAGGTCAATAAATTAGGTCCTAATAGCATTGCTCAAAAAAAAAAAATAACCATCATATATAAACAAGTGAAAAAAAAAATTAGGCGCAACCAAGAGCAGTACTATTTTGTTTCATCGTGCACTAATAAATAAATTTATATAATAACATATAGTACAATTCAAAACTTAAAAAATAAATAAAATGACTTTCATTTTTCATGGTTGAAATTTTTTTAAATCTTACTTTAAAATTAATTCTACAATTAATATTAACACTCCAAATTTAATGAGAAAAATAAATTTCTAAGGCTGTGTTTAGGTTGAATTTTTAAAAGTATTTTTAGAATATAAGTACTTTAAACAAAAAAGTAGTGTTTGAAACCGTTCTACCATCACCACTCTCACTGCGCCACCACCACCACCATCACCACCTCTACCCCCAACCACCTCCTCCATCATGACCATCGCCACCACCTCTACCACAACAACTCTCACCTTCATCGCCCCCACAACTGTCGCCACCCCACCATCACCACCACACACGCCGCCCCACCACCATCACCACTACCACCACCCCCATCACCACCTCAACACCACCAGTACCGTTGCTGCCACTCTACCACCACTATCACTGTAAAACTCAGGTAAATTTGAATTTTTTGTAAAAAAATGGGTAAAATGGTAAATTGTCACTATGGTACGGATTATAAACCTGGATTTTTCTACAGCTCGGATGATGAAACAGACCTCACCATTAGATTTGTCTCGCAAAATCTAGCTACCTTGTCAATTTTCATCGAATTCTAAAATAATCGAATTTTTTATGTTTTACGAGACAATCGAGTCTCGGTGATCAAAAAACGAGATTTTTGATAAAATTTCGAAAGTTGAAAAATAAATTAAGGCAAGTTAAAATAAAAAAAAATATTTTGAACTTAAACCGAAACGAAATTTAATTATTTCGGGGCGAAAATGGACCCGAAAAAAAGAGAGTCGTGTGGCGCGTTATGGATCAAGTAAATAAAGAGTATAAATAGGGGGAAAAATCTGATTTCTCCCCTATTCATCAGCCGTTCACCCGATAGAGAAGAAGAGAGGGAAAAGAGAAAGCTTTTCCACTTCTCTCTACGATCTACGAGAATCGAGCGGTTAAATCTATTCGGGCCACGAACGAAAGTCATTCTCCTTGCCAAGGGCTTCAAAACCATACCAAGGAGATCGGTTTGGGCGAGATTCCAAGGGCAAGATTTTGGGAAGGTGGAGATTCAAGCTTGTTTTGGGTTCTTGAAGCTTCCCAACGCCGTTTTATGCTTCAAAAGGTAGGGTTCCTTTCTACTTTGGTTTAATTTCTAACCTAGGGTGTTACATGAGATGGATAGGTGGATAGAGTTATATATCACTTGCCTATGTTTGTGAAATTGAAGAAATGTGTATTGAAAATGGGTATAGAAATGATTTAAACAAAATTCCTAGCTTGGAATTAATATATGGAAATTACTTGCTTGATTCCATGAAATTTGGTATTATGTGGGCATGCTATGTGTTTATATTATGCCTTTTGAATGAAGTGTGTTATTGACATATATTATGTAATAACATACTTGAGATATGTTGTTAGAAATAAAATGTTGATATATGTTTATTGATATATTAGCATTGTGATAAAGTTTGGTGATTATATGCATGTGATATAATTGGCTATGGAATATATAGATATGTGGTTAATTTTGCTCATGTGACATTCATTACATATGGGCATGATATTGATAAAACAATGGTGCATTACACTGCATTTGCACGGAGGAATCACATCTATGGGCATGACTGTGGGTGTGATGTGCATGATTGACTTCAAACACCACATAGGTGAATGATGGGTGGACTCGAAAAAGTTGGATCGAAGATCCGACTGAGTTACAAGGTTACATAGAAAAAGAATTGGGTCGGGGTTAGCAAGAAGGGTTAGACTATCCCTTAGGTGAGAGACCTGGTGATCGAATAAGCACTCCGTTGGTATAAGAGCCCATAAAGTATGTCGGTGTACGCGGAACCGTTGGTGGAAGTCCATAAATTCCGTTTCGGTTGGGTGCTGCTCGTGTAAGTCCATAAATACCCACTCCAAGAAAAGACCCAGAGATTTTCTTAAAATAGTTATTGGGTGTATTACGCTAATGGCGGGGGCTTGGAAAGCCCGATTTTATACTCATAGCATTGCATGGGTGAAAGGAGCCAGGGAGGGATAAGGTTGAGTTGCATGAGTGAGCCTTATCTCATTTCATGGCATGACATTGCTAAAATTCGAACATTGAATAGTATATTCTTGTTTGGAATGTTGTTATGTGTTAAATGTTGCATAAACATTTCATATGCACTTATGATGGGGAGTAGCCTGTGTAAAAAATACTCTACTGGGCGTGACTCACCCTATATGAGACAATATTTCAGGTGCGAGATACATGTCGAAGGAAGGACCTCACATGGGACCTCAAGGATGAAGAAAGCCAAAATGTGGCTTTATTTTGAGTTTTTATAAATGATTATGAAAACTTGTTTTTGATATGTAAGTTCATGGAATTGAATGTAATAACGTTGGTATGGATCTTGTGTAATATGAAAATCTTCATATACATCTGTTAAATGAAGTTAATATGGCTTGAAATGGATTGCAAATGAAAAAAACAGGTGAATTAAGCAAATCTAGGCAAGACCTACTGGTAGATCACAGTCTAGTGGGCAACGCCTACCGGTAGAATCGTGTACAGGCAAAATTTTGCTTATCAGGCAAAACCTACCGGTAGGTTCTTCAAAAATTTAAAAATTTGAAAATTTAACACTGCTTTGCCATGCTTTTGGACTTTTGGTTCTTTGGTTCCAAGGATACAAATGGACATAAAATAAGGATAAATTATGGTATATTGGACATTGGTTGGTCAAATGGTATAATGTACACGAGTTACACGTGTGGGTGATAATCCCGGTTAAGGGAATGTTATTGACGTGATATCGGGTTGTGCAACAAATCACGGGTACTTCCGTGGGTTGACGGGTGGTCATCGGGTTGACAAATGGCCCCCGGTTTTAGGGGCGTCACAACCACTGCTACCGCTACCATAACCACAACCACCACTACAACCACTGCCACCACCCCACTACTACCTCTACAACAACAACCACCACCACTATTGCCTTGCCACCACTAGTGTCGCCACCCCACCACCCTCATCCCCACTATTACCAGCCCCTAACCACCACCATCGTCGTCACCCCACCACCACCATTGCCACTGTCCTTCCATTATCTCGACCCCCACCCCCCACCGTTTCATCACCATTCCCTCAACCATCACCATTACCACCACTCCTGCCACCACCCCACGACGACCACTGCCAACTGCCCCAGCCCCACCACCATCGCCCTCTACCACCGATTGCTACCACCGTCACCATCTACTACCATCGTCTAACTGTCAACACCCACCATCATCATTGTTGCCCACTACACCCACCGCCACCTATTACCACAACCCATCACCACTTATCGTTGTCCGCCATCATCGCTAGTCACTGTCACCCACCCCCACCACACATACCTCCACCATACATCATTGTCCACCTCAGTTTCCACCCAATATCACTCACCCCACCACACCTACAACCACCGCCATTCGCCACCACCCATCACACTGTCACCTAGAAGCATCTATCATCGCCCACCACCACCATTGTCACTACCACTTTCGTTATCGTTGCCCCACCACCACCACTGCTAACCACCATCACCGTCACCCACCACCACCACTGTCAACCACAATCACCGTTGCCCACCACTACCCACACCTGCCACCACAACCGCCGTCACCTATGGATGCCACAACTACCATCGTCACCCAAAACCTACCATCACCATCACTATTGCGACCCACGCTTGCCACCGCCATCCACCACAATCATCACAGTTTTTCCACCACCACCACTACCACCGCTCACCCCCACTACAATTGGTGCTTAAATTTCTTTATTTCTCCTCTATATTTGTGATTTAATTTTAAGTGCGAATACAAATATATTTATTGTTGTCCATTTTTTTTATTACTACGTGCCTTCAGGTATAGGAAATAACTAGTAAGTCTATAAGGTAAATTCATAATCAAGAAGTTATGTAATACATAACCACCTCTATAATAAATAATGAGCCTCATTTTATTCATTGTAATTTTTTTATAGGATCATAATTTAGTACATTGGCATGTGGTAGCATACCCTTGTTGAAGGGGGGGATCACATGTACATTTTGAAATTGAGCAATGTTACATGTACTTAAAAAGTAAACTTAAAATGTGTATTTGATAATAACAATCATTGATTTCATTTAGGATTTGTGTTCAATATATTTACCCGGGGGGAGTTTGTTGAATTGGAGTCAAACGAATCCACGGGTCCCAAGGAGCAGGATAATTTATGGGGGGAGGTAAGTAGCCAGAAGTAGGAGAAGAAATCCAAATAATGAAAAAAAAATATGAAATAAGTATTATTTAAATATTTTATAGATAAAAAATAATACTTAAAAAACATTACTAAAAGATAAAATTGGAATATTTATCCAATT